TCTCAATCTCTGATGCTGATCTTCATGAATTGTGTGAGAAGTTCTTCCAGTCTTACGACTACTGGACTGCCCTACGTGATGCGCAACGAGTCGTACAACAGACAGAAAATCCTGACGACATGTCCGACGTGGGTTCGGTTGTGGGCGAGCCTGAAGAGCTTGCCACTGAATTGGAGGGTCTTCGCCGCGCCCGTGAGAGAGGCGCCAAGCGCATCAAGGCCGTGGCCACGAACGTTGCGGGCACGTTCCAGCGGGTGCTGGCCCAGGCAGGGATGGCATGCCCAGCCGGGGCTTTAGCACGCGACGCGTGCGCACAGCGCGTTCCGGCAACGCTCTGCCGGAGCGCGCTGTGCGCCCTCCCCCCCCTGGTGGTGATGGCAGCGGGGTGATCCAGCGGCAGCGGCTCCCTCAGTGGCGCTGCTCTGCAACCCTCCTGTCGGGATCCTCAGTGGAGGTGTCGCTGCTGCTAACCCCGCTACTGCCACCCAGGGGAAGTCTGATCAGTCAGTCACAACATTCCTATGTGCGAATGCCACTTCCTGGAGCTCTCTTGCGAAGAGTTTTGCTGCCCGTGTTCGGGCCCTTTGTGATGGGTTTGTCATTGCTGCGCATCTCTTTCTTGGTGAGAAGCTCAAGTGTTTCAAAAAAGATGGGTCCCAGATCAAATGGAAGCCCCACATCCAGTCCGCCTTTGCCTCCCCTGGAGGGGGAACCCATGGTGGGATTGCAGCTCTTGTAAGCCGAGGTCTCTGTTTCCGTCGCTTCCTTGCTTTGGAGACGACTGTTCGGGACCTGGGCTCTGGCAAGGGCTGGTTGTTCCTGGAGCTTAAGACCCAGGCCTCCTGCATGGCAGTCGGCCTTGTGCACATGGTCTCTGATTTGGGGGCTGCGGGTGAGAACCTTGAGAAGTTGTTTTTGTGTTTTTTGTTGTTTGTCTTTCTCTCTCTCTTTTTGTTTTTCTCTCTCTCTCTCTCTCTCTATATATATATATATATCTCTATATATATATATATGTTGGTGAGAACCCTGAGAAGATGAAAGAAAGGTAACCTTTCCTGAGCTCTATTGCTGCGCCGTGGCCGCGAATGGGAGACCTCAACGCTGGTGCAGATGCCGTGCGCCCGTCTCGCTTGTTTTCCCAACCATCCTGTGGTGTTGGGTCCTCGTTTTGAAGAGACGGTCCCCGCGTTCCTCCTCCTCCTCCTCCTCTCCTCCTCCTCTCCTCCTCCCTTCTCCTCCCTCCTCCTCCCTCGCGCGTGCTCGCCTGCTCCCTCGGAGTGCCCGGGAGATCACGCGCGCCCTCGGGCTGGCCAGCGCTCGGACGCCCAATCCCTGTGCTTTTTTGTTTGGCTTCGTGCGTGGCTCCTTACGCCAAGTACATGAATCCACGCTGGTTCGAGAGTACGCATTGCCCGAATGTTGGTATCACGCGGCCAGTCTCGCGGATCGAGGGGCCGGATTCATGTACATAGCTGGGCGCGTACGTCCTTTGTGGGCTCCCTATCAAGGATGCTCCTCGGTGGTCCTCGCCGAAGGAAACATGCACACGTCCGAGCGACACCAAGCTCAAGGTAGTGACAGGTTCTCTCATCGACTGTCCTGGCTAGAGAAGACCTCGGATGCTACGTGTCCGTCTCTGGGTTCGAGAGCTCGCCTTTCAAGACGCACGCTGGTCTCCAGGTCGATTGGGAGGCAACTGTATTACATCAGCCCATGTGGAAGCGATGTAAATCTGCTCTCATTCCAGTTTGTCTGTCTCCTGATATGCCATGGGAGGTCTATCTTGGACGTACGTGTGATCCTGAAGCCATCGCCCTTCCTGGGCAACTTCGGGATGCTCTGATACCTCATGTTTTGGATCATTTTTCTCCTGTGCTCACGCACATGTATCGTGCTCGGTCTGCTGCTACGGAGCTCATGTGGAAATCTCGGGCTATCGCATGTTACGCTGACCAGTCTGACTTTGATATTGAACGTGGAGGTTACATCCAGTTCTAGACGCGGTAACCGTGGCCAGTCCTTCCAAGATCCGTTGCTCTGCTTCTGGTCGCACCTTTCACAAAAACTGGTGGAAATCCAACTTGCTCTTCGCAATCGTGGGCATGTCCGTGCAGGTGTTTTGCGCCGGCATATTGCTGGGCTCGCGCCCTCCTTCGACATGATGCCAGCCCGTGCTCCTCGCGATCCTGCTTGGTGGCGAACTCGGGTAGCGTCCCTTCCAAGCGACGATGGCCCATTGGGTTCCTTCCTTCGCGATGCCTGCTCCGCTCACCTTGAGTTGGCCCGGTCGGCCGCTCGTGCATCAGCGAAGGCGAGGCAAAAGGCATGGCTGCTCAGAGCCCTCCCGTATGGCGCTAAGAAAACGCATGGTTGGCTCAGGCATGACACCGTTGAAGCAATTGAATACCTGGTCAACCCCCAGGGTGTTGTGCAGCTCCCTGGGGACCTCATGCAATATCGTTCCGATTATTGTGGGGCGGGCTTTGGAGGGCTGACGATTCTAAACGATTGCCCCTGAGTGAGGCTATGAATGACCTCCGCCCTCTTGCCTTGGAGGCCGTTCAGCACATGGACCCTCCCACCCCTGCCGACGTCTCCCAGGGGGCTTCTGTGTTTTCCAAGGGGACTGCGGTAGGGGTTTCCTGGACCTCCCTGAGCGTGCGATTGCGTGTTCGCTGACACGTTGAACAAATGTGAACCGGCGATGATGAGGCCTGCCCGGGTTTTCCTGTGGGTGGTCGCCCTCCTCCCCAAGACTATAGAATCAGAACGACCAATATGTAAGTGTCCTGCCGCGTACAGGGCAATGTTTAATACATGGGATTTTTTGAATATAGGATTTGTCATACATGATCCATGTATGAATAAACTTATGCATGAATTCATCATTGTTTTGAATACCAAATCCCTGCATGTTTAATACATGATCCGCACGCGGAGCATGTATAAAAAACGGCACTGTGGGGTCAGAACGACCCATCTGTAGGTGTCCTGCCGCGTACCGCCTCTATTGCCGCATGCGCGGCCACGACCTCGATACCTGGACAGCCCGGCAC